GAATGTTACCACAGAAAATGTCAGCTTTCAGCCTCATTACTTCTGTAAAAGCAATGTCCATCTGTGGTAGCTGCATATGTGCAGCTGAACATGGAAATCCAGAAGTTGCTCAGTAATTCTCTGCTTCCACGTAGTCCACTGTACCCTACCTCTTTGCTGAAAAAGTGTTGTGATAACTGAAATAATTGATCACAAATGTTCAACCTTTAGGAATTGTTATATCCCTTGACAAACGCGCGGAAAATTAAGCCCCATTATTCCCGGAGTTGTCACAAAGGCTAGAGATTTTATAAAACTAGGCAAAAAACCCTAATTTATCTGTCTTTTAGACCCAAATTGATTGAAAACATAACCCAGTCTCTGTACTTAACAAGAATTACTGTTTAATACAAATAACTAAATTCTAGCTACAGATGAAAAACTATGATCCACCAACATACAACTAGACTGGTTAAAACGCTAACCTCCTTATAAACCTCCCTCTTCACACACATAGACCGACCTACAGACAGACACAAACTATCTTGCAATACCAGCGAGATGGCAACAGAATACGGCTACTGAGTCAGAGTTCATGTGCTCTGTCCTCTTTTCTTTCCTCTTCTCCTGTTTCTTTCTCTATCTTCTATTTTCCTTACTTACATCTTGAGCTCGGATGGCATCGGCAGTAGACCTTGCGAACCTCAAATAAGCCCAGCGCGAAAGAGTGTAGGCCCAGCATGAAGGACAGTAAGCCCAGCGGGGAAGAATGTAGGCCCAGTGTGAAGGATAGTAAGCCCAGTGGGGAAGAGTGTAGGCCCAGCGTGAAGGAGAGTAAGCCCAGCGCAGAAGAATATAGGCCCAGTGTGAAGGACAGTAAGCCCAGCAGGGAAGAGTGTAGGCCCAGCATGAAGGATAGTAAGCCCAGTGCGGAAGAATGTAGGCCCAGTGTGAAGGATAGTAAGCCCAGTGGGGAAGAGTATAGGCCCAGTGTGAAGGATAGTAAGCCCAGTGGGGAAAAGTATAGGCCCAGTGTGAAGGACAGTAAGCCCAGCGGGGAATAATATAGGCCCAGTGTGAAGGAGAGTAAGCCCAGTGGGGAAGAGTATAAACCCAGTGTGAAGGACAGTAAGCCCAGTGGGGAACAATATAGACCCAGAGTGAAGGAGAGTAAGCCCAGTGGGGAACAGTATAGACCCAGTGTGAAGGACAGTAAGCCCAGCGGGAAGAGTGTAGGCCCAGTGTGAAGGAGAGTAAGCCCAACGGGGAAGAATATAGACCCAGTGTGAAGGAGAGTAAACCCAGTGGGGAAGAGTGTAGGCCCGTGTGAAGGAGAGTAAGCCCAGCGGGGAAGAATATAGGCCCAGTGTGAAGGACAGTAAGCCCAGCACCGAAGAGTAAAGGCCCAGTGTGAAGGATAGTAAGCCCAGCGGGGAAGAATATAGGCCCAGTGTGAAGACTCGAGCATTTATGAAACTGGACCGTTGGAGGCAGTAGCAGCAACAGAGTGTGGCAGCGGCTGAGGCCCCAGCCCAAGCCCGGAAGGCGGCAGCAGCGTTCGGCAATGGTTGGGGCCAAAGCCCCACACGCGGCAGTGAAGCTTAGCATGCCTGGGCGGGTCTTAGCCCAATTGCTGGGGAGTGAGACCCCTCTGAGTGAAGCCCAGCATGGATCTTCTGCAGGCCCGCGGCTCAAAAAATGACTGTAATAGTTGACATTTTAACTTTATTTCTTTATTTTTCTACTTTTATGCTAAGAAGTCTTTAGTGCTGAACTTCTTAACTTATTTCTTTACCTCCTCTATTTCTGTAATGAAGATTTTGTACCTAAGATAGTGCCATCTGTGGCAACATTGTACACTTTTCACTGTACTCTTGTACAGTGTACCATACACGTGATAATAAAACCCAAATCTAAAATATTTGTGTGTCGTGGGTAAAGGGAAAGTCTGGGAAGGCAGTTCAATGGTCCCTGTCCACAGGGTTCACTGAGCTGGTCCTTTTGACTCGTCAGGAGCTGCTGTTCCTCAGTCTTCCTTCTCCAGATACTTTCAGTTGTTTACAGGAGACAAAGGGTGACTAGTTTATGTTTCTAAACTCTCTAACATATTGGTTTAGAGAGACAGCTTCCAGCAACTGATGAGGATAAATAAGCTGGTTTTCTTCAGGCTTGAGGCATTTTTTTTTTAATTGAAAGAGGACAGCTCTCTCCTTTCCTGACGTCTGATAGCTTCTGGCCAGGCATTCACACTCACAGGCTGTTCAGCTACCTGAGAGCTAATCGCATAGTTGTTAGCAGACAGAATTGCCCAGGAGGGACACTGCAGACTGATAGTTATGCCAAATTGCAAACTCTGATCTGGAAATAAAACTGTTACACCAATGCAGTAAAAGTACTGGTTAACCAATCATTGGAAGCTGTGCTAAATCAAATTACAGGGAAATCTGAATAAATATTACCATATTTGTTCACACTGTTAATCTAGACTGTACCCTTCAACAACGGTGTAAAGGTGGAGGTTAATATTGCTGAAAAAGTCCTCAAAGTACATATCCTTAAAAATGCAGTTCCGGTGTACATGGACGAAACTTTCAAGTGAACTGATGGTATTCCTTTATATAGGTATATTTTGAAAATGAGCAATGAAAGGTGTGCAGTCCATTAGTTGAGGCTATATTCTGAATGTGCATGAATATAGTACAATGTATATGGAGAAAAAAAGTGTGTTGCATCTGCAAATCAAGTCATCAGCAGAATGAGTGCTTCATATTAGAATCCCTACAGTGTGGAAACTGGCCCAACAAGTCCACACTGACCCTCAGAGCCCCCATCCAAACCCATCCCCCTATACCCCACCTAATGTACAAACCCCTGAACATTATGGACAATTTAGCATGACCAATCCACCTAGCCTGCACATCTTTGGACTGTGGGAGGAAACCAGAGCACCCAGAGGAAACCCACACAGACATAGGGAGAATGTGCAAATTCCACACAGACAGTTGCCTGAGGCTGGAACTGAACCCAGGTCCCTAGTGCTGCAAGGCAGCAGTGCTAACCGCTTTATTAGCAGTAACCATAAGGGAAACAAATGCATACCACGTGTGGGGCCACACTGACTCAGTGTTTAGCACTGCTGCCTCACAATTCCAGTCTTGGGAGACTGTCTGTATGGAGTTTACACATTCTTGAACAACTGCAGTCCATGTGATTTAGGTAGGTAAGAAGGGAGTTCCTGGATTTTGATCCAGCAACAATGAAGTAGTGGCACGTATACTTCCAAGTTATGATGGTGTGCAGCCCAGAGGAGAATTTGCAATGGTGGTGTCTCCCAGTTGTTAGAAATCATGTTTATTTTAAAATTGCACGAGCATATAACTAATTCTTAGGTTGTTCTAAATTTTGGTAATCCTTGATTGGAACCATCTAAACCAAAACCCTCCCTCAGGATTATTTCTGCAGCCTGAAAATCTTATATGTTTGGAGTGAGAAGTCCTTCTTCTGTTAACCAAATCGAAATGCTCCAAAAAATTTGGCTCCATTTTAGCCTTAAGCGTCCAAAAACAGTTTAACCAGGGGGTGGGGAGAAAAAAACATTCATCCCAGGCATATCTCAATGAAACAAAGCCTGATATCTTTAATAGGGTTTATTTTACAATGAGACTGAAAGTGTACCAGTTTATGTTCTCATTACTTCATAACATTTCAAACTGATAGCAGTCATTTCAACAGAAGTGGTAACCCAGCAGCACACCCGATGGGGAAATTAAGAATTACAAACAGCAATTTATAGATTTCTGTGTAATTCTGCACATAACGACTCCAGAAATTGCCCTCAGTTTCAGTGCAGTCATATCTGTTGAGTACAAGCTTGTGAATATTTTTCAATATGCCTGACAGCAGAGAGTTAGCCCCAGAGAAACTCCTGATCAGCAATACTATAGAAAGTGACAGCAGACAATTGCGGTACTCCGTCAAGCATAATCATGGGCCAACATAAATCAAAATATACATTAACGTGGTCTCCAGTCCTCTTAGGGCACAGTAGCTGAAGAGAAAGAAAGAGAATGCCTCTGAATACAGAAACTGTCAATGATGCCTGTGGACACAGGCAGGTTTCTCTGTCAGTGATGTCTGCGAACACAGGCAGTTACACTGTGGGCGTATAGTAGGAACTGCAGATGCTGGAGAATCTGAGATAACAGGGTGTAGAGCTGGATGAACGCAGCTGCTCGGCCTGCTGTGTTCATCCAGCTCTACACCTTGTTATTACACTGTGGGGGGCTATATTTCTAGGCTATAAATGTGCAAGGACACCGCTACATTGCATTGGAAGACCAGGCGGAGAGAGAGAGCCCTTTCGCCCTCGACCGAACACACGCTGTGGTGGAACTGCAGTCTCGGGGCACTGATATTTTCAAAGTAGTGGGAGATGGGGGCTCCTGTCGGAGTTGCTGATGAGCCTGCAGTACATGAAAATCAAAAGAACTGCGGATACTGGAAATCTGGAACAAAAACATAAACTGCTGGGGTAACTCCTCAAGCCTGAAAGCTTCTATGGGGAAGTGGTTCTGATGAAGTGTCAGTGGACCCGAAGCGCCAACTCTGCTTTCTCTCTCCTCAGAAACTGCCAGACCTGCTGAGTTCCTCCAACAATTTCTATTTGTGTTTCAGCCTGCAGTACAACTCGTGTCCTGTACTTACACATTCACACTTTATAGATACCGCTTACAAACTAATTCTCACATTAAACCATAGGATAATTCATACAGAAAATCAAAATAATGGAACAAATGAATAAACCCCACAGCTCAGCGACTCGCCATCTTGGAGCTTCGACAACTAGCCAATCGCAAGGAGCCTTACTCAGCGTGGGCTGAGTGACATCGCCCTGAACAAATCGGTTAGCGGATCTCCATAGGTCCCGCCCCCTCGGTCATAATGGACTCCGGGAGTAGCGAATGGGAGAAGCGAGAAGGCGGGGCTACTCCGGACGGTTGAGCAATGAGGGGCCGCCTTGTTGGGAGGTGGGTGCGAGTGAGGGGTCAGACCGTTTAGGTGAAGGCGCTCGGTTTGGGAGAGGGACCTGTCGTCGGGTGCTTGGAGACATCGACATCGACATCGACATCGACATCGACATCGACATCGACATCGACATCGACATCGACAAGGACAGGGCGAGGGCGATGATCGATCAAAAACGCAAGGCGCAGGAAATGGCGCTGGTTCCGACCAAGCGGCCGAGGAACGAGGCGGTACCGGGGGTTCCGCAGCAGGCGGTGAGGCCCGGGCTGGAAGGGAAGGGAAGAGAGAGAGAGAGAAGCAGGCAGGGCCCTCCCCGCCTCCCGTAATATCTCGGGCCTCCAGCCACCGCGGGGGTTAATCTGACTTCTCGCCTGTGGAAGGATCCAGAAAGAAAGCATCCTAGTGATCAAAGGAGGCCGTTCGGCCCATTCTGTCAGTGCTGGCTCTCTGGAGGAGAGCCATTTCCCTCAACTTCTCCCCATAGCCCCGATGTAGACTGAGGGATAAACCTTAACCAGGGCACTGAGGATAACCCTCCTGTTCATCTTTAACACATTGTGAAGGGATCTTTTACATCCACCTGAGCACGGAGATGAAGTTTTGATTTAATATTTTTACCTGCACTTACCAGAGTGGTGTACTCCCTCGCTTATCTCATTTAACTTTAATAACAAAACTGAAAATAACTAGTCAGTCAGTGATAAACAAGCTGCTTGTAACTGACACCCAATCAATGAATTGGTCTTAAAAACAAAAGAACTGCAGATGCTGTAAATCAGGAACGAAAACATAGTTGCTGGAAAAGCTCAGCAGGTCCGGCAGCACCTGTGAAGTAAAAATCAGAGTTAACGTTTCGGGTCCAGTGACCCTTCCCAGAACTGATTAACTCTGATTTTTTAAACTTAATAAATGCAGTCGGACCCAATGAATTGGTCAGTTGAGTACACCAGTGGTAGATTTGTAGTGTCTCTACCTCTGGGCTAGAAGCCCCAGGTTCAGATCTTACCTGCTCCAAAGGTGTGACATGACATGTCTGAGCAGGTTGCTTAAAATATATTTAGAAGCACTCTAGGTCCCCCAATAGTCAGTGGGGAAACTGAAAAAAAAATAAGGAGATCTCAGACATCTGTAAGAATAATAATGTTGTAATGGTAGGGGCTTTTAACTTTCCAAACATAGACTGGGACTGCCATAGTGTTAAGGACTTGGATGGAGAGGAATTCGTTAAGTGTGTACAAGTACATTTTCTTATTCAATATGTGGATGTACCTGCTAGAGAAGCAGTAAAACCTGACCTTCTCTTGGGAAGTAGGGCAGGTGACTGAGGTGCCAGTGATCATAATTCTGTTAGTTTTAAAATAATTATGGAAAAGAATAGACATGATCTAAAAGTTAAAGTTCTAAATTAGAATAAGGCCAATTTTGACGGTATTTAGCCAGGAACTTTCAAAAGTTGATAGGGAAAGGCTAGCCGTAAGTAAAGGGACAGTTGGAAAATGGAGGCTTTCAAAAATGTGATAACAAGAGTTCAAAGACAGTATGTTCCTGTTAGTGCGAAGGGCAAGGCTGGTAAATGTAGGGAATGCTGGCTGACTAGAGAAATTGAGTCTCTGGTCAAGAAAACTAAGGAGATATGTGTCAGGTATAGACAGCAGGGATCGAGTGAATCCCTAGGGGAGTATAAGGGCTGTAGGAGTATACTTAAAAGGGAAATCAGGAAGGCAAAAAGGGGACAGGAGATAGCTTTGGCAAATAGGGTTAAGGAGAATCCAAAGAGATTCTAAAAATATATTAAGGGCAAAAGGGTAACTAGGGAGAGAATCGGGCCTTTTAAAGATCAATGTGTCCATCTATATGTGGAACCACAGGAGGCAAATGAGATATTCAATGAGTATTTTGCATCAGCATTCACTATGGAGAAGGACATAGAAGCTAGAGAAGTTGGGGAAATAAATAGTGATATTTTAAAGTGTCCATATCATAGAGGTGGTATTGGATGTCCTAAAACGCATAAATGTGAATAAATCCTGATCAGGTGTATTCTAGAACATTAGGAAGCTAGGGAAGAGATTGCTGGGACCCTTGCTGAGATATTTGTATCATTGATAGCCACAAGTGAGGTGCCAGAATACTGGAGGGTGGCTAATGTGGTGCCATTATTTAAGAAAGATGCTGTAGTGAAGCCAGAGGACTATAGACCACTGAGCCTGATATCAGTGGTGGGCAAGTTGTTAGAGGGGATTCTGATGGACAGGATTTACATGCATTTGGAAAAGCAAGGACTGATTAGGGACAGTCAACATGGCTTTGTGCGTGGGAAATGGTGTTTCATAATTTGATTGAGTTTTTTGAAGAAGTGACAAAGAAGATTGATGAAGACAGAGTGGTAGACGTTGCCTACATAGACTTCAACAAGGTTCCACGGACAGACTGGTTAGCAAGGTTAAATCATGTGGAATCCAGAGGGAGCTAGCCAATTGCATACAAACTTGGCTTGAAGGTCGGAGACAGAGGATAGTGTTGCAGGGTTGTTTATCCAGTTTGAGGCCTGTGACCAGTGGTGTGCCGCAAGGAATGGTGCTGGGTCCACTGCTTTTTGATATTTACATAAATGATTTGGATGTGAATATAGGAGATATAGTTAGTAAATTTGCAGATCCCACCAAAATTGGAGGTGTAGTGGACAATGAAGAAGGTTATCTCAGAATACAATGGGACCTTGATCAAATGGGCCAATGGGCTGAGGAGTCACAGGAGGAGTTTAGTTTAGATAAATGTGAGGTGTTGCATTTTGGGAAGGCGAATCCGGGCAGGACTTGTACAGTTAATGGTAGGGCCCTGGGGAGTGGCGCCAAACAAAAAGTCCTAGAGGTGCTGCTGCATATTTCCTTTGATGGTGGAGTCGCAGGTAGACAGGGTGGTGAAGAAGGTGCTTGGCACATTTTTCCTTCATTAGTCAGTGCATTGAATATAGGAGTTGGGATGTCACGTTGCAGCTGTACAGGACATTGATGAGTCCACTTTTAGAATACTGCGTTAAATTCTGGTCTCCCTGCTGTACGAAATATGTTGTTAAATTTGAAAGGGTTCAGAAAAGATTAACAAAGATGTCAGGATAGGAAGAGGATAGTTGCCAGGATAGGAAGGGCATCAGATGCTGAAGCGTGGCCTTAGAGAGGTTTATACAATCGTGAGAGGCATAGATAGGGTGAATAGACAAGGTCTTCTTCCTAGGGAAGGGGAGTCCAAAACTAGAGAGCTTAGGTTTAAGGTGAGAGGGGAAAGATTTAAAAGACACCTAAGGGGCAACCTTTTCATGCAGAGAGTGGGTGCATGTATGCAACAAACTGCCAGATGAAGTGGTGGAGGTGGGTGCAATTACAACATTTAAAAAGCATCAAGATGGATGCACAATTAACAGAGGCTTAGAGTGATATGAGACAAATGCTGACCAATGGGGCTAGATTAGTTTAGGACACACAATCGGCGTGGATGAGTTGGACTGAACGGTCTGTTTCTGTACTGTATGACTCTATGGCCCTATAACTAGTTAACAGTTCCTGTCTCAGGTTTTTGGAATTGCAGCTGGTATAAATGCAGTGGATTTTGCTTATGTCCAGGATAAGCTGGGCAAAGATTGCCTTGCCAGAGTACTTCCATTAACTTGGGATTTGATGAGCAAAGGAGTTTTAAGGTCGTCGTCTGAAGCCGACTTGTGAAGAACTGGTTATTTGGTTACAAGCAGATTGAAGTGAATAGTCCTGGGGTTAGAGTTCCCAAAACAGTTGTATTGGATTCAATGATGATACTGTCGATCTCCCTCAGATCTGCTGAGTTTCTACAGCACTTTCTGTTTTTGTTTTAGATCTCTAGTATTTGCAGTTTTTTGCTTTAATTCTGTGCTGTGATTGATGTTTATGCCAGAACGCAGAGAATGTTGCATTTTCGTCTCCCTGCTTATGTAGAAGCATCTTTGTTGGCATAGCTTCTTCATCAAACAAAAGTGTAATGATTGATTATACCTGGGACAATTCACCTTTTCTGTCAGGTGTTGACAGCAGTTTACCAGAGTGGCATCTGTACCTAATATACTACATCACACATGAGCCTCTTAAACTATGCACAATGTTTGAAGCCTTGTGATGCTTCGTGGTAGCACTCTGACATCTGGAAGTCTTGGGTTTAAGTTCCACTCCAGAAACCTGAACTTATTATCTAAATAATGCTTCAGTGCAGCACTAAGTAGATTCTGCGTTCATCAGTGGTTTATCTTTTCAGATGAGACATTAAAGCAGGGTCCCATATGCCCATGTAGGTGAATGTTTTGAAGATGAGTAGGAGAGTTCCTGGTGGATTTTTTTTTTTTTTAAACCCCTTGACCTCAAACCCATGTTATCAGATTATTAACTTGTTGCTATTGGGAATCTTGCTTTATATAAGTTTTCTGCCATGTATCCCTACAATACAGCAATGGCTGCACCTCAAAAGTGCAACTGGCCCGAAGACTCCAGGTGCATCATTGTGGCACATGAGAACTACAAACTGGAACAACTTTGTCCTAATGCTTACTGATTAGCTGACTTTCGCTTTAGCTGAGGTGGTTTAATTTGGGATGCCAGACAAGTATGAGTCCCACTCCAACCTCTGCCCCGCAGAACGTGCAGCCCTCTGACCCCATCCCAAGCTCACCATAAAACCCGCGGACAAGGGAGGCACAGTTGTAGTATGACGCACTGACCTCTACATCGCCGAGGCCGGACGCCAACTCTCCGACACCACCTACTACCGCCCCCTTGATCATGACCCCACCCCTGACCACCAAACCATCATCTCCCAAACCATCCACAACTTCATCACTTCAGGTGACCTCCCACCCACAGCCTCCAACCTCATCGTTCCCCAACCCACACCACCCGCTTCTATCTCCTTCCCAAAATCCACAAACCTGACTGCCCTGGTCGACCCATTGTCTCCTCCTGCTCCTGCCCCACTGAACTTATCTCCACCTATCTGGACTCCATTTTCTCCCCCTTGGTCCAGAACTCCCTATCTACGTCCGTGACACCACCCATGCCCTCCACCTCCTCCAGAACTTCCAATTCCCCGGTCCCCAACACCTCATCTTTACAATGGATGTCCAGTCCCTATACACCTGCATTCCCCATACAGATGGCCTAAAGGCCCTCCGCTTCTTCCTGTCCCGCAGGCCCGACCAGTCCCCTTCCACTGACACCCTCATCCACTTAGCCAAACTCGTCCTCACCCTCAACAACTTCTCTTTCAATTCCTCCCACTTCCTACAGACAAAGGGGGTGGCCATGGGTACCTGCATGGACACAAGCTATGCCTGCCTCTTTGTAGGTTACGTGGAACAATCCCTCTTCCGTACCTACACTGGCCCTAAACCCCACCTCTTCCTCCGTTACATTGATGACTGTATTGGCGCCGCCTCGTGCATCCACGAGGAGCTCGAACAGTTCATCCATTTCACCAACACCTTCCAACCCAACTTTAAGTTCACCTGGACCATCTCTAATACCTCTCTCCTTCCTGGACCTCTCTGTCTCCATCTCCGGCAACCACCTAGAAACCGATATCCATTTCAAGCTCACCGACTCCCACAGCTACCTAGAATACACCTCCTCCCACCCACCTTCCTGCAAAAATGCCATCCCCTATTCCCAATTCCTTCGCCTCTGCCGCGTCTGCTCCCAGGATGAGGCATTCCATTCCCGTACATCTCAGATGTCCTCGTTTTTCAAGGACCGCAACTACCGCCCCCCACCCCCGTCAGTGGTCGAGAACGCCCTCGACCGTGTCTCCCGCATTTCCCGCAACTTATCCCTCACATCCCCTCCCCGCAATAACAACCAAAACAGAATCCCTGTCGTCCTCACGTACCACCCCACCGACCTCCGGATCCAACGCATCGTCCTCCGACACTTCCGCCATCTGCAATCCAACCTCACCACCAAAGACATTTTTCCCTCCCAACCCTTATCTGCTTTCCGGAGGGACCACTCTCTCCGTGACTCCCTTGTCCGCTCCACACTCCCCTCCAGCCCCACCTCACCTGGCACTTTTCCCTGCAACCACAGGAAGTGCTACACCTGCCCCTCACCCCCATCCCAGGCCCCAAGAAGACTTTGCACATCAAGCAGATGTTCAACTGCACATCTGCTAATGTGGTATACTGCATCCGCTGTTCCCGTTGTGGCCTCCTCTACATCGGGAAACCAAGCGAAAGCTTGGGGACCGCTTTCAGAACACCTACGCTCAGTTCGCACTAAACAACTGCACCTCCCAGTCGCGAACCATTTCAACTCCCCCTCCCATTCCGCAGACGACATGTCCATCCTGGGTCTCCTGCAGTGCCACAACGATGCTACCCGAAGGTTGCGGGAACAGCAATTCATATTCCGCTTGGGAACCCTGCAGCCCAATGGTATCAATGTGGACTTCACAAGCTTCAAAATCTCCCCTCCCCCTACTGCATCCCAAAACCAGCCCAGCTCGTCCCCACCTCGCTAGCCTGTCCTTCCTCCCACCTATCCCCTCCTCCCACCTCAAGCCCCACCCCCATCTCCTACCTACTAACCTCATCCCGCCCCCTTGACCTGTCCGTCCTCCCTACCTCCCCCCTACACTCACCTTTACTGGCTCCATCCCCGCCTCTTTGACCGGTCTGTCTCCTCTCCACCTATCTTCTCCTCTATCCATCTTCTATCCGCCTCCCCCTCTCTCCCTATTTATTTCAGATCCCCCTTCCTCTCCCCCATTTCTGAAGAAGGGTCTAGGCCCGAAACGTCAGCCTTCCTGCTCCTCTGATGCTGCTTGGCTTGCTGTGTTAATCCAGCTGTACACCTTGTTATCTCAGATTCTCCAGCATCTGCAGTTCCTACTGTCTCTAAGTTGGAGTCCCAGTCGAGACTGTAACGTAATGATTGCTGGGTTCTGCAGGGTAAATTCTGGTTTTGAAATTTGATACCCTAATATGAATTAGATCAGCAACGCACGTGTATTGGTTCCAGTTTGTCTAATGTGTACAGCAACTTCATTGGGGAGTTTGGATTTGAGGACCTTTCCAATTCACATGGTCCATGCAGTCCATCCAACATGTTGTAATGTGGGGGAGGGAACAGGTGTTTGAACTGCCACCTAGATCAAATTTTCTCATTTGTTTTACTGCCAATCATTTAGGGTCCCCCGAGAACGTCAAGTCTTCAAGCTCCTATAATGCTTCTAACAGGTCACGAGGGAGAAGTTTACTGCTGTAAGTTCCACCCAAATGGATCAACGCTGGCATCTTCGGGATTTGACCGACTCATACGTAAGTGATAGACTATTTCATCTTTGTTCTGCCTGCACTCCTACAAGCTTGTTAAGTCGGTAAATATAACTAAACTTTAATTATTTTAGAATTGTTATGTAAGGTCCTGATCATTTTGTTAATAGTGGTACATTTCTTTGCCCTAATATATTAATGGCAATATCAGATATGACGGCACTGTAAAGTGTGATGGTGGAAGTGTGAGGTCACCCATTTTGGATACAAAAAAAAACAAATTTGAATATTTTATTGATGATAGATGAGTTGGTTTGTGCTAGAGCTAAGGGAATTCACTATCCATGTACACAAACTACTAAAACTCACTGCACAGAATGTAATTGGAAAAGCTAATGCAATGTTGCCCTTTATCTCAAGAGAATTAAAGAGTGAGGTGATGATGTGTCAACTTGTACAATGCCCACCTGCAGTATTATATTTGGTTTTAGGTATCATCTTTGAAGAATACATTAACTTTGGGCAGAGTGTGTCACAAAATCGTCAGTATGATACCACAGTTTAAAGGGTTAAAATATGAGGATGTAGTGCATAAGCTTGTCTTGTATTCATTGGAGTTTTAACAGTAGAGGGGTTGCTAATTGAGTTTCTTAAAATGATAGAGATTCAGTGGGGTACAGACAGAAACTATTTCCTCTGAAGGATTCCATTATAAGGGGACATGATGCCAAAATTAGAACCGAACCATTCAGTAGTGAAAATAATAAGTGCTTTTTCAATTGTTGTGTGAATCTGACCCTCCTGACTCTTTCCTCACCCACCAGTAAAAGTTGTGGACGTTGGATCAAATTGAAGTTTTAGGTCCACGATTGTTGAATTTCTGTCATGTAAAGGTATCAAGGAATATTTAGCAAAGATAGGTAGATGCTGTTTTAAATACAGGTCAGTTATGGGCCAACTGGCAGAACAGGCTCAAAGGGCTGATTGGCTTGCTTCTTGTTTCCTGTGTTCCTATAATGTATAATAGGTCCATGTTCCGTTCATCTCAAGCTGCAAAAGTACCCAGCACTTTACTTTTTCCAACTTGTATCATCTCTGGAATGAGTATTTTGAGCTCTAGAACACTTGCCTGAACTATTCGTCACTAATGATCATTTTAGGTCTGGTTTGATGTAATCAGTTGTGTAGCAAGCAAGATCTGAGCTGGAATACAATTTGTCAATGTGAATTTGAAAGTATTAAATATCTCCGGTGGCCGTAGAATGTATTTTATTGTACAAGGCTTTGAGTTGAACATTGATCCTGAACTGGTTTGTAAGATATTGAAACACAATAAAAATTTTTAAGGCATTAATCCAGTTTCAGTAACATTTCTATACTGAAGCCAATTGAATATTTTTACAATCTTCCTGACCCACTAGAAGTGTGACTAATTAGATATAAGTATATTAGGTGTACAGTATGAGGTACTGCTAATGGGGAACATTGCAAGGATATTCTCAGTTTCAGTATAGAAATGTAATATTATTGAGTTGTTAAAATGTGTAAAAATATTGTCAGTTGGTGTCATCCCGGATGATTTTGAAAGAGAGAAAAAGCTAACAACTGTAGCTGCAGACAGTTGGAAATAGAAAATAGCAGGTTATCCAATATCTTAAAAACAGCAGAGATGGTGTTTCTGTAGGTGTAGGCCATTCATCAAATGTTCATATTTACAGCACAAAAAAGGGCTTTCAGCCCAGTAGATTCATGTATGGTTTTATGTTCCACATGAGGCTTTCAAACATGAACTTCCCTCCACAGCAGCTATTTACTGAATTACCAGGTTTTGTTTTTCAGATTTAATGTAGCCATTTGTTAATATGTCTTACCTTGCCTTATGCTAGTCCGTCTAGTTGATTCAAAAAAAACTTTGCAAACGAGTCACTACCCTTGTATGAATGTATTTCTAGTATTCTCACGCAAGAGCTTGCAAAATTCAGTCATCTTAATCTCATAAAGTCCTCAAAAGCTATGTCAGGTTTAAGGTCCTTCATGTTTTTCTGCCTTCAGTGTTATGGAATGTGTATGGAGACTGTGAAAATTACGCTACATTAAAAGGCCACAGTGGAGCAGTAATGGAATTGCATTATAACACAGATGGCAGGTACTGTATTTTGTATCTTATTATCAAAATTTAGCTGACTTTTTAGTCAAAGAAATGATAGCATTGTATCATGATATATCATAGAGCCTTTTCTTTGAAATTTGGGACTAATTAGTTGAGTTATAGTCATCTTTTCCAGTCCAGCACAATCTTGTGTTCTTTGTGAGAAAGTGCTTTTAGTTTTTGAGTGACTTGATGTTGTGCCATTAGAAGAAAGAAAGACCTGCATTCATGTAACAGTCTTTGTGGCCACCAAACACAGGCTTTTTAGAAGTATGGGCTCAGCATTCAACTCCAATTTTTGCACAGCAGTTTGACAATGGGTAGACTATCTTGTATTTTTATGATGTTGATTGAGTGATAAAAATTGGCTGGGACACTGAAAAACACTCAGGCTCTCTTTCAAAATAGTATGATGAAATCTTTGTCTCCTGAGAAGTCTGCCTTGATTTTTATGCTCAAGATCTAAAGTGGTACTTGAAGCCAGAGCCTTGTGACTCAGGCAGCAGGGGTACTATAACTCAGGCACACCTGCCTTAACCTAATACTTTCCTAATTATCTAGTACGTAGAACAGTTGAGTGCTCCTTTTGAACTAATAAGCTGCATTCACCATCCTGCACTGTCCCCTACTTGTCCTTAGTGTTTTAATTTTACCAATAACTATCCTAGCTCATTCTGTCAATGGATCAGAAAATTATTGAATTAGTGACCTCTGTCTGACAAGGGTGGCATGGTAGTTCAGTTGGTTAGCACTGCTGTCTCACAGCGCCAGGGATCTGGATTCGATTCTACCCTCAGGCGACTGTCTGTGTGGAGTTTGCACATTCTCCCTGTGTCTGTGGGTTTCCTCTCGATGCTCCGGTTTCCTCCCACTGTCCGAAGATGTGCGAGTTAAATGGATTAGTCATGCTAAATTGCCCATAGTGTCCAGGATTGTGCAGACTATGTGGACTAGACATGGGAAATGCAGGGTTACAGGGATAGAATAATGGGGGTGGGTTAGTTTGATCTGGGTGGGTTGTTCTTCAGAGGGTCGGTGTGGACTTGATGGGCCGAATGGCCTGCTTCCACACTGTAGGGATACTGTGAAATGTATTTCTTTCTTCCCACAATCTAGTAGTCTATAAAACCAAAATTATGCATCACTTAGTTGTTCTAATTTATTTCTACTGCTCTTGCATTTTTTTAAGTATATATCAAACCCAAGCTATCTATTTTCGTTTTTGCAAGTCTAAACAAAATGGTTCCCTGGGCATCTTGAGAATCTTGACCTATGATCATTAGCTTTGGCCAGTAGTTGATAACCTGTGGCAAATCAAGCACATGAAAGGGAAGCAGCAATAAATAAATAAATTTTATTGAGTTAAAATAAGCTGAGTTTATAAGCCTTTTTAAAATCACCAAACTTATACTTTTTTCACAGTCCCCATCCCTCACCTTGGTTTATCCCAGCTTAAATGCTGGTTTAATGTTTGTGAATTTGTTGAACTACTATTTTGAAGCTTTCTTGCCTTTGAGATAATTTTCTCCTTTTTCTTCAGCATGCTTTTTTCAGCATCAACAGATAAAACTGTCGCAGTGTGGGACAGTGAAACGGGTGAAAGAATCAAGAGATTGAAAGGGCACACTTCCTTTGTGAATTCATGTTACCCAGCAAGACGAGGACCACAGTTAGTCTGCACAGGAAGTGATGATGGAACAGTAAAGGTGATTGCAATTAATATTAGGGTGTATTATGTTTCACTGAGAGGTTCATGAGACAAAAACTGAACAGTCAGAAATTCTAATGCAGAAGCCAGTAAGGATGAAACTATCCTGGCAAGGAGTGGGTAGACTAATGTGTCACCCTTCCTTGGGATAAGTGTTTTTCAGGACGTGGGGCTCAGTCAATAGCTCAGCATGTTTAACGGGTGAATAGCAACATCAGACAGACCAGAAATGCTCCTGGTTTAACATTGGATCTGTGCTGAATCTGCTAATTTGAGCAAGGGCTACAGTTGCTCGATCAGCATTGCCAGGTAAGGAAGTGAAATGTCAGCAGGATTTTTGCTGCTGATTTGCCATTTAGTTTCATGATCTGGCTTGCTGTCACCTTCAGCCCAGTGAAAACTACTCTCTAACCTCATACATCAAGAATTGCCATTTTGAAAAATGTACAAAAAGATTGGTGACAATTGTTCAGCTAAACCCCAACAAAGATCAGTGCCTTTAGAAGAGGAGCACAAATTTAACAGATACATTGGTCAAATTGTCAGCACAAATAATAGAAATAAAACCTGGACTGGTACAATTGATAAAATTTGAAAAGCCTGCGTAAAGAGGTGTTGTGTTTTTAATGGCAATGTGCAAATTATATATAGAATGACTCTTCTTTCACATCCATTGTTTATGTCACATCTTTATTTTCTTTAATGTATTTATCCATCTAATTTGAACTTATTTTTGTACCTTAGCTTTGGGACATCCGGAAGAAAGCTGCTATCCACACGTTTCAGAACACATATCAAGTACTTGCGGCAACGTTTAATGACACAAGTGACCAGATTATCTCTGGTGGTATTGATAATGACATAAAGGTATGGTACTCAGTGTGGTTTGTGAACCACATGAAAGTGTAAAATGTAAACGAATTAACAAAATTAGTGCTGAGTTTGGAATCCATTTAAATTTATGTCTGCAGTTCTTTTGATAAAAATACACTTTTTTTTAAGAGATAACAGTGTGGAGCTGGAGGAACACAGGAGGCCAGACAGCATCAGAGGAACAGGAAAGTTGATGCCTCGGGTCGGAACCCTTCTTCAGAAATGGGTCTTTTTTTTTTTTTAAGTTTCTTTCCTTTGTTCCTGGGGTGAATTTCAGAAAGTACATTTCTGTTGTGAATGCTGAACACTGTTGTCCTCGCCCTGGGTTATAGAAGATAAGTTTTAGCTGTATCCAATTATATAACTTGATCTGGTGGTCCTGAAGGAGATGGTTTATATTGAGTCAATTTGTAAGCACTGCTGCTACGTGTGGGAATGCATATCTCGCTGTTTATGGACCCACAGTACATACCACCTAACATCGAACATTGTTGAGAAAATACATATTTTGTTGAAGCTTTTCGTCTTACCCTCGTCAGGACAATTCTCAAGAATATCAATTTGGGAGGAAAACAAACATCTATACCATATGAGAGATAAATGCTGATTGGTTGACAAGTGCACTATGTTTGGAAGCATTGCCATGGAGATTGGACATCATAAACTGGTGCATTCTTTATTCTGGAAGGACTTTGTGTACCCTTACTTGATTTTATCACACTTCTGACTTTGACCAAACCAATTTCAAGCCACAGAATCTGGAAAATGAAAAGCCTGGAAAGGTTTGCTTGAAGCCAGCACTTCCTCAGGTGCATCATGTGTTAGAATCATATTATCTGATGATTTTTATTTATTGTATCCTTTCTTTGTGTCCAGCGAAACATACAAAGTTAACATTGGTTAATGCGAGATATTGCTGTAAAGTGTAGAATGTATACCTTAGGGCCTGCTGTACAAAAGATAGTTTGGTGACAGAGTGATTAAATATGTCAATAACTGTTAAATGCAGAGCATTAAGCATATCCTGTCTAAAGCTGCTTCCCTGAGAGTTTCTGGAGCAGTATTTTCCGCAGTCACAAATTGATCTCAGTGGTTGGAACAGAACATTGCATTTCTCCGATCAATCTGTTCAATTGAAACACGCTGTATGATATCCTAGGAGACTTTTAAAGGGATGTTTTATTAGCAGCTACTTCTGAAATGAAAGCGAGTTCTGTTTGTGGAGCATAACCACTATTCTCCTTTGTCCCTTTGCTGCACACTGTAAAGTTGAGTTGTGGGTTTACATTTGGTCCAGTAATAAGCTAACTAGCCAGTCTGAAGCTGTCGATCACGAAGGTCTAGTCAGAAGATTCTGTAACAACCACGTAAGAAGTAGGCAATTATATTTTGAGTCTTAGTACAGGAAAAATGTCTTGTTTTTGGCATTCAAAAAGACAAGTAAAACATAATTAGTAATGCACAGGTTTTCTAGTTTAGTTGATGTGCCTAGTGGGGTTTCCAGTCTGTGGCACTTTTTATTATTCACTCACGAGATGTGGGCATCTTTGGCTAGGCGAACATTTATTGCCCATCCCTAATTGCCCAGAGGTCATTTAAGATTCAACCGCATTGCCATGGGTCTGGAGTCACACGTCGGCCAGACCAGGTAAGGATGACAGATTTCCTTCCCTAATGGACACTAGTGAACCATTTGAGTTTTTCTGATAATTGATAATGGTTTCATGGTCATCATTAGATCCTTAATTCCAGGTTGTTTATTAAAGTCAAACTCCACCATCTGGCAGGATTTGAACCCGCGTACCCAGAACAATAGAGATAACAAGGTAGAGAGCTGAATGAACACAGCAGGCCGAGCAGGAAAGCTGACGTTTCGGGCCTAGACCCTTCTTCAGAAAGCGTCTAGGCCCGAAACATCAGCTTTCCTGCTCCTATGATGCTGCTTGGCCTGCTGAGTTCATCCAGCTCTACACCTTGTTATCTCAGATTCTCCAGCATCTGCAGTTCCTACTATCTCTCCCCAGAACAATAGCTGAGTTTCTGGATTAATAGTCTAGCAATAATATCACTAGGCCTTTGCCTCCCCTGTCAGAGTTGAGAGCACTATGATGGCAGGATATATATCCAGGAAGCGCATGAACAACGTCTTTTTGTTTTTGTTTTTTAGGATCTCTAGTTTATGCTGCATTAACCTAGATATTGGGCAAGTGACTGCATCTTTGTTTCATTGGCAGCGTGAAGAACATTGATAAGAATGACAATTAACACTGAACCTGAGAAAAATATGTATGGTTACAAGCCTTAGAAATGGAACGCTGTCCACTTAGTACTTTGTTCAAATAAGCAAAGTTTCTATCATTAGGAGTTCTTTTTGTTCAAATAGTAGAAATACTAGTCCAATCTATTGCTCAATAGTCT